TGTTTATTTTGCTCTTGCGCATAGTGAGGAGCATGATAAGGAAGGCAAAATCCCTGAAAAAACCTAATCTAACTTTTAGAAAGCAACACTGGTTCATCTAGTCTCCATGACAATCGTTTACTTTAGCACTTGTGTTGCAGTGCCTGTTGAAGGAAACGTAAACTTTAAAAGGCTGTAGCTATTAGTAAAATGAACACCTTTGCTTAAGGACACTCCTATAGTTGTTTCTTTAGATATTCAAATGTAAAATGTAAGATAAAAAGTGTTTTTCTTTGTTGCATACGCTACCATTTTCATTCAGGAAAACAAGATGGACATCATATTACATCGGAAGCGCATTTCTGCTTTTCAGCTAATCATTTGTCAGACTGCCTTGAGACTACCAAGATGGAAATGGGTTAAAGTTACATGGACATCAATCACTGCTGTGGAACATTGGCTTAATGGGCATGCTAGCTCCTTTGGGTATCATCACTGATGAGATGAGCTCCATGTTTTACAGAATTCACATAATTTAAAGCTAAGCTTACCATTGTCTTCCTCTCCTGGCTTGGCAGTTTGGGGTAAAAATAAAACAGTGAATGTCCATCACTGCATTGAGCGGGGGGGCAAGATAAGGTTAGAGGAACGGTTCTCGGACGATTCGTCTGTTTCTGCCAAATGATGTACTATGAATAATGATTTGGCTGGGGTCAGATTCCAATGGAGACGCTCAACTGTATCTGACACTAGTGGTATCGCATGGCAGCCGTTAATGTCCAATTTTCAATGAAAACAGAAATAGAATACAGATAAAGGCAGCACACCATCCAGCTTCACACCCGGACACATAATTACCCCAATGGGCCGTGGTGAGGGATCATATCCCTGCACGCCGTGGGGGGTCAGCGGCGATAAGCTTCAGCCCAGCTCCCAACATGGAGCATAATTACTCTATTGATAATTCACCAGGAAAATGGTCCCAGCCAATTGCAGAGCTCCGATATAATGGATTGGACGATGAAACGAGGAACGAATGGAGGTAGAAGGCTGCGAGGGGCCGTGTGTATGTGGGTGGGTTACATGTGGGGGCAAGCAGCAAGGGCCTTTTATTAGAAATGAAAATATGTTTAGGTCATAGGGGGACCCATTTTCCCTGGAGATAATAAAGCCAATGAAATGTAAAGCAGGGGAAGAGCTTGGAATGGGGTCCAACTGGGGCTGTTTATCTGTGTGTGTCCTGCATTAGCCCATTTATTCCCAGCCTCAAATTAGCTAATCATTCTCCAAGGGGAAGGACTTGGTCAGGAAATTGACATTTAGCAGCATAGGCTCACTCTATTAACTACAGTAAATTTAATTTGCTGCACACCCCAGAAGTGGGATGTTTGTGTTGCCATCAGAGGGAGAAAGGGAAGGGAGAACAAGAGCAGAGAAACTGAACTGGGGTTTTTGCTTCCTCTGCTTCTGGCCAAAATTTGCTTGGCTGTAAATATGGGATTCAGACTTGGAACTCTGTGGCTTTGTTGCATTTTTTCCTCATGTACTGCTGATTATAAACACACACAAACAATGTTAACTCATTTATTGTTTTCTTCATGTTTTTTCCATTAGAACTCATTTTCTGACTTTGGCCTTGTCAAGTTGTGTGCAGTGCATTAAACACTATAAATCACATTTCTTCTGACCACTTTCACATGTACCCCTGAATCACATGTGTCGTTATGTTTATTATCCTGAGTAGATCAGCATTTAGCTGATTCGAGCCTTAAAATTTCCAGTTAATGTTTCCAAGTGTGCCTGGGCAGAATACGAAACCACCGATTTGATGCAGTTCATTTTATTTATAAAACAGACAATTACAATAAATGTCATTTCCAGGCAAATATAGTCAGATCCCATTCATATTTGGTTATCTGGAGTCCAGTTTGGTCCAAATTTAGTCACACAAATTTACTTGATCATTTAATAGCGTAGTTAAGAAGCAGTCTTTGGGAAACCAGCTGATTTGTTGACGATACAGCAATCTTTCCTCCTTAGCAAGCATATTTAATGACCTACTCTCTTTTAGAGAAAGAAACCAACAAAACTTGTCTTATTCAGGGAAGTGGTTTACTTTCTGCCCCAAGCAGCTGTAAAGTGACAGAACAGTGAGGTGAATTGAAAAACACTGGTATTCCAGGCTAGGAAAAGAAGCACAAATAAACGCAAGAGCACAGGGTCGGGTGTATTTTCTCCTGAAAACAGAATTCACAGAGTTTATGTCAATAATGTCTGACAAATGCTTTGTCTACCAAAACAAAACAGAGTAAGCCAGATGGACATTTTCTAAGAATAAGACTACACATGGGTAATGGCAGCAGTAGCTTCATCAGTGATTTGCTCCAGGACTGAAACACAGATAAGCAAAGAAACACAAAGTCAAGATTGGTTCTGGTGGGAAAGAAAAACAGACTATACAGAGTTGTTTTTAACAATAATCTTTGAAACCTGGTGTAAGGTCTTTCTGCATAGAAATGACACGTTCTCCCTTTTTCCGGCTCAAAACTATGGTCTCGAATTCGGCGGTATTAATCTGCATCCAGAGAAAGCTGGAGATCACAATCTGATAAAGCCTACAGAACCACATCATCTGCACAGGGGAGAGAGACCCGATCATAAGGCCACGTAAACTCCTAATCGGATCCCCTCAACACTTTAGTTGCACAAAGGACTTCCATCCATAAAGGTTACAAGCAAAATCGCTGACAAAGGGCAACCTTGGCGGAGGATGATTGCACCTTATAGACAGCAACCTGCACCTTCGACCTGAGGGAAAGAGAACAAATTCCTCTAAAAGGGATTGTCTCTGCTGGCTACGGTTGTTTTGACCTTTTTCACAGTCTGTCTGTTCCAGATATCAGACACGGGGTGCTGCCGAACGCCAATTATTTTGCTGCCCGTTTTAACAAGACAGAACAGACTGTTCTTATTTTTCAATGACACATTGCCATGCCAAGCAGTAATACCAAATGTTGAAACAGACTCGATAAAAGATTTGCAACATAAAAATGGGAGTGTTTTATCAAAGCTAAAATGATTCAACTTTCATTGAAAATCAAATCATTCTAGACCCTCCTTTCAAACTGCTGCAGTGTTCTGCTCGAAGTTGAATTCTCCACGATTGTCTCCGGGTATCTGTAACTGTCCACAGTTTTCACTAGAGATTCATTGATTATTGTTGGTGCAGCAGAGTGGGTAGTTTTCCTGAACTCTATGACCATGTCCTTTATTTTTCTGGCATTCAGCTTCAGGCAATGTTCACCACACCACTTCACAAAGTAGTCAAAAACAGATCCACGTTGAATCCCTTCCTACTGCAAACCGAATATAACAGTGTCAACTACAAGCTTGTAGGTTCCTGATTTCAAAGCCATTCTCGCTGTAAATTAGTTATAAAATATGCAAAAAAGGAGGAGAGGAAACATCGCTGGATGGAACACCAGTCATTCTTATTGTCTGCTTATGCATGTAAAAAGTCTTAAAATCTATTTTACTAAGGCAACCTCAAGATTAAGATGGTGGAGGAGTTTGTTCAGCAAGATGTGATGTTGAATCATATTGGGAGCTGAAGTAAAATCCATAAATGAAATCTGTGCAGGGGTTTTTTTGGCCTCAAGATGCTTGAACATATAACTGGTAAGCAAACTGTAACAGGTCAAGCTGACCCAGTTCTTAGTCAGTCCGAACAGAAGGCAAATCCACCAACCAAAAATTATCATCAAGAGTCTATAAAGTGAATGACAAATGATCAATAGCTGTTGCTTTTCTCCTCTCTTTTGCCCCCTAACTCTTGTCACTTTTTCTTACTTTTCGCCTTAGGATAAGTTGTTGGTTTATATTGCATTTTTCATTGTGTTTTAGGGATTAATGTCTTGATCCAGTGGTTAAATATCATTTATGTGAAGAAAACGGTTACATTTTTTGTAATTCTTCCACAACACAAGCCAAGTGAAAATATAATTTAAGAAAACATTCATCATTTTGAGACTTTAATTGCTAAAGAGAAAGTCCTCTGTTTGGGCATCGGTGACTTTGGAAAAAGTGCCTTGGGTTTTTGTATTTTTTTAATTTTTTTTTCAATCCTCTTTTTTACTTTTCCCCAAGATTCCCTCGTGGAGAGAATTTGACACGGCTCGGTGGCCCTCGGGTGATCAGGATAGCCGGGGCCTAATTGATTGCAACAGTTGTCGGAGTGTTGTCTGCCGGGGTGGTGACAGGTGTCTGAAGAAAATGATTAGTTCTCTGTTGGGAGAGAGACAGCTCTGGATGTCCCAAACTGCAAACTAATAAAGGGGGGAAAGCAATAAAGCTCACGGACAGCAGGTTTGACTGTTTTTATAGACAAATCAATAAAATGATAGATGATGGAAAATAACGGCATCTCAGCTGCCGATTTCTACTGAGGCAACCAATCACGGCCCTCCCCCCGACCACCCCGAACCCGTTTGACACACAGCGCACACACACACAATGCGCTCGAGACACAAACTGCAATCACGTAAACACTCATATTTATACACCATGTCTGTGTTATGTACTGTGACACATAAATAGGGTTTATTAGATCATTTAGCCGCAATGACACAAGTTACTTTAGATGTTTTTCTCTGCTGTTTAAATCAGCGTATAAATTTTTGTGTGCTACAACTAACAAAGTAAATCTTCTACTGTAAATCTCTGAGAGACCAGAGGTCCAGCGTCAGGATCAATACTGAGGACAGGTCTTCCTCTAAGCCCGTCTCTAATTGGCTCCATTTCTGCAGTGTGTGTGTGTGCGTGTGTTTTATGGTGTATTGGTTTGTATAGAACTATTATTACACCCATCCAATGAAAGATGAATCCTTCCACTCTTGGGAAATTTGATCAGATTAAGTATCATTTTGTGGTTTAAAGGATGCAAACATTGCTGTACTGTGATAGTATAATGCAATCTGTACAGTGCTGATCTAATTTTCTGATGGGTGTTTGAGTAGATTTCATCAATTTGGTTTTGATTTAAGGTCTGCTGTAGTTCCAAAAACCCAGCTGCAAGTCTTCATTACACTGAAATATGTTTTGCTCGGAGAGTTTCTCTGTGAAGTACAAAAACCATCCAAAGAAACATTACCTGTTCTGTTCTGCGTCTACAAATTCCAGGTTCACTCCTCTTCTCAGTTTTGTTTCCTGGTACTGCTGCCACTTACATCTTGTTGATGAAACTGCCATAATTACATTTGGACAGAATGATTCATGGCCTTTTTGTAAATACCTACAGAAAATAACTCAAGTAGAAACTTAAAAATAGAGCAGGTAGTCATATGTAATGAAAAGGGTTAAAGAAACATGGGTTGTCTTGCTGAAGTATTTATATTAAGCTGATATAAAATTAAGAAGTGTGCTTGTTATAAGAACAACATAGATTATGTAAGAAAAAATAATTTAACTGTTCATGGCTTTCTGCTTTGGGTTCAAAGCAGACATAGACTCCAGATACTGAGTACTCTATCCAGAAACATTTTAGAATGTCCTTGTCAAAGTCCAGACCTCACTCCAGTGTGGAAAGACTTGGAAAATTTGTTCATCCGACGCGGTTCCAGTATTCTAACAGCGGTTTTATTTTCTTCCAGGTCTCATTCTCGCCACAGACGGTCCCGCAGCAGGAGCAGCAGCCGCGGTCACCGAACAAGCCACAGCCGCAAAAGAAGCCGCAGCAACAGCAGGGAGCGGGACAGGAGTCGGCGCAAGGGTCGCGACCGGGACAGGGACAAAGAGAGGGAGCGAGATCGAGGAAGAGACCGAGACAAGGACAAGAGTAAAGACAAGAAAGGGTGAGCGGAAGGATAATTTGCGTGTTGACACGGCTGCTCCTGCTGCACAGCTCATTTGAAACTATCATCCCCACGTGGGAACAGAATATGTTGATTGGTGATATATTGATACAAACTTTGAGTCCAGAGTCTGCTGCTTCATCCATCACTCAGTCCCTCCATTCATCAATCCATCAGCTCATATTTTTCTTCTTCTCCCATCTTGCTATTAGGCATTGGCCTTGTAATGTCATGCGATTCCCTGCTGTCAGAAAAAAAAAACGTTACAGTCGGACAAATAAGTGGTAGAAAGGTACGCTGTACAGGTTTAGCTTGTAAGAGCGCTTTGGTCACCAGAACAACATGGTGATTATTTTTCCTCCCTCTGGAGTCAGGTGCAATAAGTCTAGAAACAAAACAAGATCATATGCGTCTTCAGTGTCTTTGTAGCTAGTGCCAGGAAAAAAAGACATCTTATTGAAGTAAGAAAGGTTGACATCTTCACTGGCAACTTTGTGGCCTCTTATGGCTGTAAAATAGACCAAAATCGGATTTGTTGTAGTAGAGACATCTATGCTATCACACCTTCAGAGGCCTTTCTCTGCTTCTACTAGAAACACATTCCCAATTCTGCCCCAAGACAATAATCCCAGACATGACAGGGAGGATACTGGAGTGCACACAATTGTTGGTAGATCTATACCTCACCACCTGAAGGTATTACACCCCTTCACTTTAATTTAATTAGACCGACCGTACAAAATTATTCTAATATAAATTTCTGCATATTTTCCTCAAAGATCTACACACTAACACGTAATGAGCTAGCAAACACAGCTTTTTAGATTATAATCCAGTATTTCATAAGTACTGTCATCCATTTTGATTTAGGTTTTTCCTATCCGACTGACTCTAAATTCAAGATGGCTACCATGTACTTCCTGTCACTCTAGCACAGAGGCCTGATTGGTCAAGCTTATTTGCACCTTCTGAATGGTTCTCCTGTCTCTATAGGAGAATAAAGTTGTTTGCTATAATGTCCACTAGTTTCTTCGTCACCTCTCTGACCAGCTCCCCTCTTTTTTGTTTGCATAGTTTGCTTAAGCAGCCAGATCTATGGAATGTCCTGGTAAAACAAGCACAAAAAACATTTCTTTTGCTCTTTTGAAATACATTCCTTAGATTTACAGTTGGTAAATTTTGCTAAAGTAAAAATCTGATGTTTACTTCGTGGCACTTTGTTACCAGAAAACTAGCTCGTCTCTTAGCAACAGATTAACAACAAATATTGTTATTGTTCAAAAATCCTTAAATTTCTTTTGCTCCTCTGAAATGCTGCTTATCTACTACAGAATTGTGCATTTGGTAAATTTTGTAGAAAAGTGGAAATGCGTTTTTTTTGTCATTGCTGGTAAATGTATTATAAAACAGACCTTCGACACAAATGTAAAATTCTGATTTATACTTCGTGGCAGTTCGTTACCAGAAAACAAATGCTTATCTCTTAACACCAAATTACTTATTGTTTATAAAACATAAGCTCTTTTGAAATACTGCTTACCTGCTTAGAAAGTTGGTAAATTTATCAAGAGTAAAAATTGGATATTTACTTAATGGCACTTAGTTTCCAGAAAAAACACACTCAATTCTCAGCAACAGATTAACAAGTTATTTTAATTGTTCAAAAATCATAAGATTTCTTCTGCTCTTTTGAATCACTACTTATCCTAAGGAATTGTGCATTTTGGTGAACTTTGCAGAAAAGTGAAAATGTTTTTTTTTTTTTTTTTTGTCATTGCTGGTTAATATATTATAAAACAGACATTCAACACAAATGTAAAAATCTGATTTATACTTTGTGGCAGTTCGTGACCAGAAAAAAAAAAAAAAAAGCTAATCTCTTAACACCAAATTAACAAGTAATATTATTGTTTCCAAAACATAAACGCTTTTGAAATACTGCTTACCTGCTTAGAGACAAGGAATTTACAGTTGATAAATTTTGCTGACGTAAAAATCAGATGTTTACTTCGTGACACTTGGTTACCAGAAAACGAGCTCGTCTCTTAGCAACAGATTAACAACAAATATTGTTACTGTTAAAAAATCATAAGATTTCTTCTGCTCTTTTGAAATACTGCTTATCTCATACTAAAGAATTGTGCATTTGGTGAATTTTGCAGAAAAGTGAAAGAAAAAAAAGAAAGATAAATAAACAGAAAAACAAAAAATAAATTTAAGAGATATGTGCAGTTATGTGTCTGTGTGTAAATAAAGTATGAGGTGAAGCTGCAGCTTCACAAAATCCCTCACAAAATCCCTGCCCATGAACTCAAGCAGCCGTCAGACTGCTTGAGTTCAGCAGTCTGACGGCTGAAGGGAAGAAACTGTTCCTCAGCCTGGTCGTCTTGCTCTAGATGCTCCTCAGCCTCCTGCCTGAGGGGAGCGGCTGCAGCAGTCTGTGTGCAGGATGGGTGGAGTCCTTGATGATGAGGAGCGTCCTCCTCCTGCATCACGCTGTGTAGCGGTCCGAAGTGGAGGAACGGCTGCTCCCCACACGGTGATGCAGGTGCAGAGAACGCCCTCCACCACACAGCGATAAAAGCTCCTCAGGACTGAGTTCCCAAATCCAGCTCTTCCTGAGGAAGTAGAGACACTAACCATAGATAATCAATAAAAAAAATAGTTAAAATGATTGCTCTGCAAGGCAGTGTGCTGGGTGGAGGGCAGTGAAATGCTACGTTTTACTTAAGAAGTGAATGCTAATATTTTTCCTAATGCCTCCTATGTGTTGCTATGATAGACCCCAATTAAATCTGAAGGTAGGATTGAAATATTCACAATTTGATTATTTTCTTTCTTAGAATTACACAAGCTAGCCAGTATTTTGTAAACTTCAAAGTGAAACATATGTAACTGTCTATATGATCGACCTAAAAGCATTTTGAGTGCAGATTTTCCATACCATAGCATGCATCTTTAGCTCTAAAGGACTTAAATAACAACAACATAACAGCTGATTAAAGTGCTGTGCAGAAAATGTAACGTTTTGATTAATCTTCCTTAAAAAAACACCCAGTCTTAATTGTTTTTTTTAACAGAGGGGGGATAGCAGCCTTACTTTGAAGGAAACGTGTTCCATTTATTTTAAGCTATTGCCTTTCTTAGATCACAATCGCAAAAACAAATAAAGCTAACAGTGCAACGTAAGGCCAGGAGACTATATCTATTTTCTTATTAAGGCTTCAATATCCTTTAGCATTGATAGGAATCTTTTTCTTTATCTCTGACCCTGCTTTCGCTGGTCTGCCTGCATGAATGTTTGTTGTTTTGTGTACCTGTGTGTTTGCATTTCCACCTGTGGACGTGTTAATATATTTCAAATGGTTGATACAGCTGTCTCGGAGGCAAGTTGATTAAACCTGCTTGGATTGAATCATTTTGATGAAACTGTAACACTGACTGGACACGAGGGGCCTTAACATTAAAGGAAACAATGGATATTGTTGGGATGTTGATAAGGAGCCTGTAGGAAGGAGTGTCCTGTCGTCTTGGACAGTAAATTTTGAGCAGGATCATTTAGGCCTGGACTTTCTTGGTTTTCCTTTAGTCGTCTTGCTATTTTCATTTATTGTTTAATTTCTGATTGATTAGATAGCTAGATAATTAGCTAGCAAGGGTCAAGCTAGCTACCTTTTTTACGTATGTCATGGGTATGTACATATTTATCACCAGTTGGCTGGACGATGTTTGTCTTAGCCAGTGCCGTACTTCTGTTGCCAAACTATCGGATGAATATTTTTGTAACTTTCTGTTCTACATTTCTGTTCTGATACAGGTCTTAAATGTCACTCATAACGGTTTTAATGTTTTGAAAAGGTGAAACCGACAGAAACCGTGTTTAAAGTGGACCAATCGGATCTGGTGTGAAATCGCCTGTAGAAGAGCTGACTGTCATCACCACACTGCCTCCTTTCCTTATCTACACCTTCCTGCCCATGAATACCACACACTGGATTTTTGACAAAGCCAACATTTCTCCTAAAGTGGCCCAACATTCAACAGGAGCAAGGTTGAGAATGTAGAGAAACCTTTCTCTGATATTCTACAAAGACCAGCAGCATCTCTGGCATCCCTCACAAAATGCCTCCTGTTCTCCTCGGTTACAGTTAAAATAGTTTGATGTTTAAGCTTGAGTTTAGGGCTTAGAAAAAGTCCCCTTTCCAGCAAAAGAAAATCTAAAAGACTTTTCCGTCGCAGAATCTTTGAAACCTCCTATTCTGTCTAAAATAAGATATGTCCCTTTTTTCCCCTCGCTTCCCATCCAACTTTTCCTGATAAAGACGAGGGTAAGATCTATTCCTAAAGGCGCCTGAGTCTCATTCTTTTCACCTGCATCCAAAACACGCACTCATACACCTATTATAACACTCCAACTTCATTTCTATCCAGGTTCCTTCGCTGGGTGAAAGAAGGAGAGCGAAGAGTGGGGTTGGGTGGTGAAGAGGCTCAGGAGCTTTATAGTGTCTGTCAGGATAAAAGAGGGGCCCCATCACAGCGGCACCCTGACACCAACTCTGTGTGCGTGCACATGTGTTTGGTGTTGTTGTCATTAAACATTTAAGACTCCTCTAGTATGACAGCAGGCAACTTGGTACTCCGGCGGTATGTTTTCATGCAAAATTTATTGAAAAAGACGAGTCGTTGTTAAGAGATCTTGTTGCCTTTCACCAGTGGCAAAGGGTAAGTGGTTGATGGTAGGGTTCTCCGTGTGTGTCTGCGTGTGCATGCGGGGGAGTTTAGTCAGGCTCGTGAACAAGGTCAGCAGTTCCGTTTCAGTCCAAGGTACCATCTTACTTCCTTTAGGAATCACACTGTTTTGTCTTCTGTGAATGTTTAGCTTTTTACGTAGTCGGAGCTGAGCTGAAGAAATTCTGACGAGGCTTTCCTGAAGTTTACTTTGATGAAAGGTTAAATAAAATTAATACAGAACTACTGATCATTTCAAAGCTGTGTTCATCAGTGCATGGCTAATTTGCAACATTTGTATGATTACACATGTTTTCAGGTTTGAAATTTTTCAGGCATGCTCTCCATTAACCTGATGTAATCCTCTGAAATGAACAAGGCGAAATGAATGCAATTTGTGCAAATAATTTACTTTTTAAAAGGTGTTCTTATCTGAAAAACTATTTCAGTTATTTGTTTCGCACTTTAGTACATATTGTACATCAAGGCACATTATTTTAACCAGCAATATATAATCAGTCAGATTCTATAAAATCCAATTAAATAGACTGAACATCTATGTGGACCGTAGATCCCAGATTCAGTGATGAATGGTGCAGTTGTATTGTAGCCATAATCCTGCATGGTTAAAAACAGTTGATCTTAGAATAATTAGTTAATGGTAAATAACTAAAGAAAGTTGAATTCTACATACTCACCAGCTGAAGGTGTGTTTTTTGTACATCATTTTTAGTGCTCCTACACAATAACATATATGGGGTTTCTAGGTGGCTCAGTTTTTTTTGTCACACCATGTTCAGAGGCGATAGTTCTTGATGGAGTTTGTCCCAGGTTCGATTCCTGGACTTGACCCATTTACTGCAAGTTCATTCTCTTCAGGCGCCACTTCCTTTTCTGTCAGATTATTGTTCAGAAAAGGGTACAAGAGCCAAAATTACAAATAGAAAAACAAAAGACGATAATATTTGTACAACAAAATACTTTTCATTTTTGGTTAGGCATGAGCCAGTTACCGATATACTAAGGTTCTGAACACCTATGCTTTCACCTTGAACCCTAAAATCTTCCATCATGCTGTTCACAATATTTAAAATGATTTTAGTAAATTATTGGAGTAATCAATTATCCTTAGTAGTGAGAAGCAACATATTGCTGCCCAGGGCCAGTGAACTGGCTCAGTGAAGGCTACACTTTTCCCTTTCTTAATGATACCTAGAAAGGTGCCTATAACCATACCAGTAACTGGTATGGTTACTGGTACCACCGTATGTTTGGAAACTATACCGTCAGTGATAGCATGGAAACTCAAGGAGCTCCGTCAATTTAAATGACAAAAATTAGCAGCAGTTGGGTTATCCTACATTATTGCTGGTAGATGTAAATCAAAAAAAGAACAAATAATTGTTATAGGTGATTAAACCTGACAAATTATATATACATTAAATTGCTTTATCTTTTTTAAAAGACATTCTTGCCCTTTCCTTTGAGCTCTGCCAGCTTCTTTTTCTCTGTGACGGATCGTCAGGGTTGGAGAAGAACGCGAACAGGCCGTCGTCTCGTGCTCAATCAGCGAGGTCTGTCCAATTAGGCTGAACTCGGTGTCCACACTGGTTCATTGAAGTGCGTAGCACCATCTTAGTTATTTCAGTGTCAGCCGAGTGAAGAGTGGGCAAAAGCAAGGCCGTCGGAGCGCCATGGAGACCTCTTATCCCTCCAAAGACCTTTAATGTTCTTACACTTATTATTTAATACCGAAGCTGATATAATGAGCTGAGGGTTAAAGAAATGAGATAACTGCCCGTCTTTAATTAAAGCCTCTCACTGATGTTCTCGTCGATGCATAGGAAGGATTTTCTGGCTCCGGGACTTCAGCTGGAATAATTTTTTATCAAGATAGGAATACATTTTTAACAACGTAGGTATTTGTCTGATTCGTGCCTATAAAGCAGTGCCCACTGATTGCAGCCGAGTGCCGTGGATGTGATTGTTTAATAATTCCTCTCATTACCGCGTCTCCTCCCCGACAAGCCAAACAGAGCCCAGCTTCACCGCAGGGATCCCGTCAGGGCCTGCAGGATCTGCAGGCCCTGCTTTGGCTAGCTTTTCTCCATCACTCAGCTTTAACCTCTGAAAGGCGAGATGCTGTGAGGTAGAAAGAAAATAAAAAGAGAAAAAAGAAACAAACCCACACACACGCACAGGCACACTCATGCACACATTTTGTACTTAGCGCTGTTGATTTTTCTCTCCCGTCTTTTCTCGCTCTGAGGAACTGATTGTCTGCTTCTTTGCC